ACACACACACACACACACACACACACACACACACACACACACACACACACACACACACAAAACATAGAAGACCAAACTTTTGCTCCTGTATGGTGGTCTTTTTACAAGACTGGAATTACGTGAAACTAACCATCGTAGACCTGAAATTTAACTTCTACTAGCCTTATAGAGCCTAACCCTGACCACAGACCCTAAAGTTAACCATTAATACATACATACACACACACACACACACACACACACGTACACAACTTAAAGACCTAGCTTTCCTTGGAGTAATGCATATCACCCACCGCCTTACATGCTAGAGTTTTGAACTAAGATTATTGTCGTGGCCATTTTCAACAAATCTTAAAAATAACTTTTAGGAGTATGTGTTTTTAATGCCCCTCAGCTACTACCACATCAAAGTTTATCTCAATATCTGTAAAACTAACAAGCCCATGTTCGTGTTGTCAATAGGCTGTGGCGGCCATCTTGATAACTCTGAATCACGGTTCAACCCTAACTTTACTGATAAAGTTTTAAAGATCTCACACAATGTGTAGTAAATTACTCTCAGCTACTACAAATCAAACTTTAGCAACATATATGTAAAAGTTACTGAATTACAGCCACTTTTATGTTTTCTATTGTCAGTGGGCTGAGGTGGTCTTATTGCATTGGATTGACTCCAAAAGTTAATCAGCTGTAGATGACTGCAAATTTTATTACTATCTGTCCAGTGGTTCATCAGATATTTTGCTAACAGAATGACGTGGACTTAGTCAAAATAAAAGCATGATCGCCTGCCTTTCATCAGCAGGTGATAAACGTGGAGTGTAGTCATCTGTAAGTTTGCAATTAAAGCCATGAAACAGTTCATTTTGCCATTGTTTCAATTTGTTTTCCTAATTTTTACTTTATCAAAAAGCACAATTTCAAATCTGTTGCACAATTTTTGTAAAAAAAAAAATTAAAGACTAAACTCAATGAAATGAGTGTTAATGCCGTTTTCTGTTTTGAAAGTTCAGATGATTATAAAGTGAAACAGATCTGATGTCAGAATGCGAGAAAAGAACAGTGAATCAAACCAGGAAAAATGACACAAAAAAACCCCAACATATTACATGTTTATCAACAACCTCCGGCTGTAATTTGATTCAAAAGATGTTCAAACATGAGACATGTAGCCGAGGGGTCATGAAGCTCTAAATGTTACGGGTTCGTTCTGGATCTGACAGCGGCCTGTGGAGGGAGCTGATGATGGTCTGCGCCCCGAGCCACTGCCTCCAAAACCTARGAGCTGCTGGAGAAAATTCATGTTTCAAATAAAAACTGAAGCTTTAAAGAAATGATAAATGTACGAACAGACGCGACAATAACAAAAGACACGCTCCAGGTAAAATCTGAGATTACCATTCATCATCTGTAATCGTTTTACTGAAGAAGCTCACAGAACTTTAAGCTTTTTGGCTTTGAAAATGTTCAGTCAACACCTGCACACGACAAAATAACTGCAGCAGCAAATGATGACGTCTGTACGAATAATGAACTGTAAATAATACCAGCTCAGCATGTTGTAAAGCATTTAGCATTTTTGTTTCATGTTAAACTGGCATTTTTATGAACCATTTATTTATGCAACCTTTAAGCTTCATGGTTTATAACGCAGTTAAAGTTGTCACACTGCAGTGTTTATGACACATTTGTGCTTTTTCAGACTCAAATTTTCTGATTTTCTTTCTGTCAACTCTTAAATTATTTTATACCGAGGCCCTGAGGGGACATCAGGATTTATTTATTTATTTATTTTTTTAGCATTGCCTCAGAAAAGTTGTTCATTCCTGTTGTGTCGGTCAGTTTATTAATAAATTCACATGCACACCATTATATAGGTGTTACTACCTTAATCCAGCTTTGGCATGAATATATCACAGCTATGCATAGTTACATACTATATATATAGATATTTAACTCTATGCAGCCAAAATCACCTACAACTTCCCTAACTTGTGGTGACACATCCTCTTTCAGTAACTGAATATTTCAAAATAAAAGTCTCACTCAGTACAGTCAATACAAAACATAACAGTTTTACAAGGTATGATGAAACTTCTGTGAGGTAACGTAAAATTAAAAGAAAAGTCCCTGGATGTCCCCTAGCAAGCTGCATAATATTAAACATCAAAACATCTGGAAATTGGATTCAACAGATTCATCTTGTTAACGTCTTTTGCTCCTCGTGGATATAAACAAGTAGCTAATACTGCAATAGATGCATTTTCTCTTTTTGCACTTGAACAATTATTGTTTTTATTTATTCAAAGTCACAGCCTCAGAGAAACTTGGCTCAGAGTTAGAACTCCTGCTTCTATAAAATGTTTATCAGTGAAGACGAGGTCTGTCGAGCATGTAATGTTTTGTCTACTGCTGCCTCAGCGATAACCAGGAACTGTACCCTCGAGAAAATCTTACATGTAAAACAAAACACTTTTATTAAAAGCCTTGCAATTTCTTATCATTTTAAAGCAAGTATCTTATTAAAGTTACTTTAGTAAAAGTTCAAGTTTCCTTTTAAGAATATTACTTGAGTAAACGTCTTAGCGTTTTTAACATTTACTGTACTCAAGCATCAATAGTAAATTTGGTATAAAATGGGGATATGATGTGAAATCTATGTTTTGAGTTTTATATCATGTTATCAAAAACATATCCAGTGTGTTGCTCTAACTTCGTGCATGTTGGAGAAATCCTTGAATCTCCTGTGGCCATGTGGAGCTGCCTAAACACTTGTTGGTACAAAGCACCGCCCATTTGTCCATAGCTCCTCCCTGGAGCTCGGTCCCCAGCTGAGGCCCCGCCCCACAGAGCACCCCTCCCCCCGAAGCACTGCTGTTAAGACGTGTTGAAAACAACAGGAGGTTCTTAAAGAGACAGAGGTCCATTTCAAGGCGTTAAGATATGATCCATCTGTTATCAGTACCCACTTCTACCTTACAGGAAAAAGATTTTTTTATTTAAAAAAATAACATAAAATAAAACAGATGTTGACAGATGCTCCAGGCCTTTATTTCAGTGCTGTAAAGTTTCAGCTCTAAAGCATTGCCACCTTGATACAGATTATTTTTGTCACGCCCAGCACCAGCTGCCTTGTTTAGACTGGATGAACACATTGTGACCCATCACATCGAAATGACGATTAAGTCAAATTTGTTCAAAATGACCTCATCATATTTTCTGATTCTTTGCTTTAAAAGCTACATTTTGATACTGAGATCATCCTGATATCATTAGTAGATCCAGAGATATTATTTAATTTGTCTTGGTTACAATAATACATAAATATTTGGTCTAAATCCTAACTTTAAGTAATTTTAATGAGAATTTTTTTATGTCATTTTAAAAAAGAAACCTCTTTGAATATTGAGGTTTCCCAGCTGGGAAGAAACAAAAGCTTTGATAGCTCACAGGGAAAATCTCAACATTTTAAGACATTTTTCCTCAAAATCTGGTTTTTGGTTGCTACTGCTCAAAAAAACGCATCAAAAAATTTTTTGGATAACATTTCAGACAGTTCATTGAAATGATACATTGATAACACATTTATTTGTTATATTTTGACAAAATGTAATTTTTGCAAGCGTTTTAATCAAAACACTATCTGCCTATTTCTCCACATAAAACTTTGAGACTCAACCCTCGTTTTGATGTGATGGCTCACATTTGGCCTCATTTCCAATCCTTAAACAAGAAATTTTACTTATTACTACTTTACTGCTCTTTAGTAACCTCTTTTTATGTTAAACCTGTCTTATTCCTCCATGAGTAGATCTGTATGACTGTGTTCTCTCTGGCTCTTTATTAAGAAAATTACATGTTAAATCATCATCAGAACAAAAGCATAAAAAGTAGATGATGACTAACGACTGGAAATTCTGTAATATTTACAGCCCCTCAGGATATTTGCTGTCAAACGCGTACATCCATCAGGACAAAAGCAATAAATTAGTTTTGATTCGGGGTCTTATGAGAAGAACTGAGCTCAGTTTTAGTCACTGCTGATCGTGCTACGATTTCCTCTGACTGACCTCATTTCTGTTCTGCTTGTTGATGCCGTCTGTGAGTCGATCAGCTGATCTTTCCAGAAATATCTGTTGCTTCCTTCACACGGTTTAATTTTTCTGTCATTTTATACTTCTATAYACAACTTAAGGACATAAAATGACTCTTAAGTGGGTTTCTTTATGTTGTTTACCATTACCGACGCTCGCAGCTCTAGCGTCCTGGCTGGCCTTGGCGTCTCTTGCGAGTTGCGCTCGCGTGGCAGCTATCAGGCTGTCGTGCGCCAGCTCCTGGACCCTCAGGTACCACGGAGCGCTGCCGTCTATTCCGTAGTCCCCCGACGAGACGCCCCCGTCTTCGTCGTCCTCGGCGCCGTCTGCGGCAAAGATCAGGGACTCCGAAGAGGCTGTGATGCCTGAGAGGGAAGAGCAGAGTCAAGAGCACCTCGTTCTGGAACGGTGGACTGCTGGGATCTTTCTGGGTCACGGTTCTAAATTTAATTCTTGTACGGCTTCATGTGGGGAAAAAAAATGGAATGTGAAGAAACAAAACTGATTTTGTTTTACTCTGCAGCCAAAATGCTAATGAAGCAAGAAAACAAGCCTGCCAAGGATTCTTTAAAACTATTAAAAATACACAGTTGTGTGCAGAAATCAGGAGCTGCAAAAGAATCAAAGATTCAGACTTTTTAGGCCACAGCTAAACTTTCATTATTTATTCTGTTGTTAATTTTTAATTAACTGCTTGCGTGTGAGATGAGAAAATAACTTTTTAAATATGAAAATGAATGTATTTATCTCAGTAATAAAGTGTAAAGTGTGGGAGTGCAGCTGGGAGCCAATCAGGCGCCAGAACAAACTCAACTTTAGCATTTTAATAAATAAAGTAGCTCAATAGAAAACATGGTTATTAAAAGTCAAACGCTGGAAGTTGCTGAGGAATAAAAGAGCAGCGTGCGTCAGCAGCTAATGTTTACCTTTTGCGAGGTTCAGGAGGACGTACGACGTGCTGTCCGGCTGCTGGAAGTCGTGCAGGATGGCCGGGGGGCTCGGTGACGCCGGTGGCTGAGAGTGCGTCTGGACCACCAACGTGCTCGGCTCCGACACACCTCCGTATTCGGGCAGGGTGGGAGAAGTCCCTGGCTCATGGCTCAGGCCTCCGTCTGAGGAGTAAACAAACCAGCGTTTGTCAGATTTTCCATATTTTTTGGTTTTAATAAGTTTAATTGAACGTAACAACATGTTAACATTACAAATATACAATACTTATACACTCAACTGAGTGGGCAGAAGTATACACTTACATTAGCCCACCCCTTCTCCTGCTATCTTATTCCCACCACTTCTTATTTATCAAGACAATTATTGTAGATTTCTAACAAATTACATCATCCAACAACTATTAAAGAAGTACTGATAAACTGTAGCAGTTTTGAAATCCCCTCAATCTTTTACCAAGAACATACCAACACAGTATAAATCAGTGGATCTTTTATTTGTTCATTTTTTTTAACAATACCAATTCCACCCCCCTGTTTCTTCGTTAAGGAACATTGAGTTTGAAATACCTTCTATTAATTTACTGAACTCAGTGTTTGATGTTTCAGGGATGTTTTTAGACAAATTTGATCCAAGATTGATAAAGAATTCATAAAACTGAGTTATTTCATTAATGTTGTAAGTTTCATTTCCTTTATCAATAAAATAATAAGGATATTCTAATTTATTATTAATATGTTCCATATTTGTTTCAGATTATGTTTAAATCAATATCGAATGTGATCTGCAAAGTGATTAAAATTAGGATTTGAAGTAAAATTTCTGCATGGATGTTATTTTCCCACAGTTTAACACAAAAAAAACCTGCTCATATTATTTACTATATTCAAATTAAAATGTGGAACAAATATTCCAAGTAGTATTCTGTAGGGATGTTGACATTTCGTCAGCAGCTGCTGCGATTTTCTTCCCAAACTGCTGTGACCAGATTTTGCGAGGCTGCTCAGTGCGTTTGCTTGTAATTTCCTCCTGCTTTGTTATTTCTACGAATTTCAACAAATCGGGCTGACGTCAGGTAGTTAGCTACAGCCTCGTCTTCGAGTTTTTAATTTTTGCTGATGCGTTTTGAAGAGACAATTTTTTGAAAAGAGGATCAAAGTAAATCACCCGAGTTTTTCTAGTGACCCCTTAAAGAGATAAGCTGCCATGAAGAACATTATTTTATCTGCCCTTCTTCCAAATTTGATAATGATTTGAAACGTCGAACTATGTTTTTTTTAAAATCCAGAACAGCGCTTGTTGCAAAGTGTTTTGACGCTCGTCTTCGTCACTTGACATTTAACACGCTGTCATTGGTTGAGGAGCTTTGTTTACAAAACAGATGTCCACATGGTTTTTAAATTGTTTTAATTTCCTTACTTTCTAAGACACATTAAGTTGATTTGATGCTACAGTTTGCTTTGAAATGTTATTTTATACCTTTTCTGCTACTTTTGAATTGGCTATTATTAAGTTTTATTAGTTTTTTAGGATACAAGATGCTTCCTACAAAACCAGAATGGGAATCTTTCCCTAAAATTTCATGGCGATATCTTGAACACTGAGGAAGTTATGAGCAAAATTATAAAACAGCAAGGTGAAATGGCCACATTGGTTCTGCTGTGAACTGCAGCAAGAAAACATGAGCTGATTTCACCTAAACAAACATCAATAACTTCCCTCATACTTCAGATAATCACATGATTTTGGTGTTATTTTGTATGGTTTGAAATGTTCTTTTGGAATACGCTGTCAGATTTAATATTGGTGTAGGATAAAAAAATGTATCCACATCCCTATATTCTGTAAGGCGGCATGGTGGCTCAGTTGATGGAGCCAGACTGAATCCCGGCCGGAGACCTTTCCGGGTAGAGTTTGCATGTTCTCTCCGTGCACACTTGGTTTTTCTCCGGTTAATTCCACAGACCAAAAACATAAACGTTGGGTTAATCGGTAACTAAATTGTCCCTAGATGTGAGTGAGAGAGTGAATGGTTGGTTGTCTCTGTAATAACCTGCTACTGAGGAAAGACAGTGTCTGTGTACCAACCTGTGAGCTCCAGAGGAGTGCACAGGGAGCTGTCAGCTGGAGTCAGCAGAGGCAGGCAGGAGTGTTTGGATTCAGAGTCCTCCAAACTCTGGACCAAAGGGATGGACGCGTTCTGGACAAACTGCACCAGCAGCTGAAAGGAAGAGAAAAACCACACAGCAGGATTAATTTAAAGCTACAATCTGCTGATTCAACCAACAGTCTTATTAAGCAACATTTACCTCTGGTTTGGAGTCCAGCTCATCAGAAAGCATGAGTCTCTCTGTGTGAATGTCCGAGCTGTTCAAAAACACAACAGTGAGAAACTAAGTAACAGCTGCTGATCCTCCGATTGGCTAAATAACAATACAAACCTGCGACTAAATAGGTAATTTTGCTTGGGTCAGAAGCTGCAGGTCATCTCCGAGTTGAACCCATCACATTAACGCTGCAGACAGTTATAAATAAACAAAAACGAAGATAAGGCTGAGGTTTAACCTGACCGCTTTGGTCAAAATAAGCAAACTTAGCTTAGCTAGCAAGGTTAGCATAATAAAAAAATATCTCTTTAAAATAACGGCACGCTTTAAAAAAATTAACCACTGACACAGTCCTCGCGTATATAACTCATTAAAATTTGTAGTAGAATATATTTGTTTACATTGTGACACTCGAGTGACTGCGACACTACGTGAAAGTAACTTAGCTGGACTCAAAACTGAGCAGCTCTGAGCTACGGAAGCTCCGATGGAACAATGTTAGTGGACTTCCGCCCAAACTAATCCTGTCTCACTGCTGCCACTCAGTGGCCAAACACGGTAACTGAACGGTAACCTGTAAACAAATCAGACAGAACATTCCCCTTTTTGCATAGCTAAAATGAATTTATTTAATAAATTAAACTTTTATGAATTGTAATGCAGCTAAGTATCTTCAGCGCACCATGTTTAATATTCATTTTATGTTAAATGAGGACTTTTTAGGTCGCAAAAAGCCCTTTTCGTTTTAACCAAAGAAAGAAATCCCATATTCAACACAGGCCCATGTAGGCAGATTTTTAATGTCTAAACAATAAATTTGCAAATTCATAATGCTTAGTATTATGCTTAATGTACTGTTTTGATATGTTGAAAACATTAAAATATTTTAGTGTTTTTTTCCTTTTTTTTCAGGGGGGGGGGGTGATTTGAGCACATTTTTGCTATAAAAATACTTAAAACAAATACAGCAAGTATATTTCTTTAAATATTTATTACACGTAAAATTACTTTCTAAACAAAAATGTACAAAAAACAATGTTAAAACTGTTTCACAATCTCAATTGATTTCTGATAAAAACGTCTGCATCATATGTCCTTTGAGGTTTTAAACGTTGACACACAAAAGTCATGATTTGGTAAATGTTCCATAGTGGCAACTCTCATGAGGATCTCCATAAGATACGTGAATAACAAATAGAAACCCGGATTACATTCAGCTAAATGAATCAAATGTTTGTTTTTCCCCTACACAATCTCTTTTAAGAACCATACGTAATATTTTCTGTCACACAATTGTCATAATGTGAGCAACTACTCAGAACACAGTATATACTGTACATGCAGCATCGCTATTTGTCTAAGTTTAGTTAATAACCAAGATGAGGCAGCAGCTGAACAAGAAAATGTAAAATATTTTTGTGCTTTTTTTCTCCAAAACCCTGTTTTCTGGATTTCTGCAGTTCGTATACATTTCTGCTTCTAAGGAAGTTGGGGGAAAATAAGCTGAAATGAATTAGATGAGAGTGAAAGCAACATAAAATTACAACTAGAGCTTGATGTTTTAATATTTCTGTTCCCTCATTTGCATTGTGTACAAAAAAAACAAAACAAAACAATGAGCTTTTAGTAGTTTGAGAACTTAGCTACAACCACATTTAGGTGACAATAAAGTGTCAAACTCTGCTAAATGTTTCATTAATGCACATTTTTAATGTTAAAAGAGTAAAAAAAACTTTACTTGCTGCCTGAAGTCTATTGTCTTTATTGCTTTGACATCATGCTGGAGTTTATAACTGAACTAAAACCCTTAAGTTTGTTTTTTCCATTCATTCAGAAGTTCAGCAGATTGATGATTTGGGATTGCGAGCAGTCATAAAACATCTCAAACTCCCCAACTGAGAGCAAAATGAAAAGTGAACACGCTTGAAAGCTTGGACACATGAATCGAACTCTGTTTTACTGACGTTGGAAAACTGCAGCGGAGACAATGGGAGGAATAATAATGACTTCAGACTTCTTCAGCTGCTCTTAGCTCACAAGAAATCAGAAAACCGCTTCATCACAGAAACTCTAAAAACAGAACAAATTGTTTGCAACGGTCTTAGTAGAAAGTACGCAGTTGTTGACCAGTTTGTTAAAGCATAAAGCTCTGCACAAGATGAAAGGTTTTAAGAAAACAGRTTTGACGTTCCCTTTAAAATACCTCAAGAATTGTATTCAACGGGGAAACCAAACTAATGAATTTTACCGCGATGCACATTTACACATTTTTTACAGTAGTGTTTAAGTGTTTTATTTACAAGATGGCATATTTMATCATTTTTAAGCCTTCTCTATCACTTTAAAGGCAAAATAAACAGTAAGTTTGTAATCAGAACAAACAAACCATGTTTTAAAGATGTAAAACACCTTGTTTTACTCATCTAAAACCTGCAGCCTCAGGACTACGAGGCAATATGTTCATTACCGTTGGACTAAAAGTGAAAAATAAAAAACAGCTATGTGCAGATTATGAGCACAAAAAAAGTCCATCTTAAATCAGCTACYGAATCAGAGCTGCCATAAAACTGCCGCAAATTGCTTCAAAAGCTACAATTAAATAGTTTTAGTGCAAATTATCCTTGACATAACTTTTCATTTAGATTTAAGGCCATAATTTATAAACAAATACAGATGACAATGAGAAAGGACCCACAAAAAATTATTTTAGAGGTCAACAGCGAATTGACTATGAGAAAACTTAACAAAAAATAAGAAAAAAATCTTTACTTGCAGTTAAACAACACGTTATACAATTCTTGTGATAAATATGCTTTCACCATAGGAAGAACCTTTACTTTTATCTGAGAAACATCTAAATGCTTATTAAAGGCTTTACTTCCTGCCAGGATAAACAGGAACATCTGTCATTAACTGTGAGCTCCACACCACTGACGCCACATTACACTGCGACGCGTTTTCTTACAAGACACTTCCGGTGCGCGTTTGTCTTATTTCATGATACCGACYGGAGCAAGCGGCTCTGAACACATTCACCGTTGACGTGAGAACATCGAAATACCTTTGTTACATCATATGAACCCGATGCCGCTGAAAGTTTATGCTGATGATCTGGAAATTCTTGAAGAACAGCTAAAATAGACTCGCTATAAAAAAACTTTTTAAAAATGCTGTTTTTGTTTGTGTAAAAAAATACATCAAATGATGCAAACTAAATATGTTGTAAACCTTAATTTTTCATGCATTTCTTATATTTAACACAACTAAAAAAATAAAATAAAACAAAAAACTGTCTGAGGTGTTTTGTTTTTTTAACAGAGGAAGAGTTTCAAAAAAAAAAAAAGACCCAGCTCATGACGGAGCGGTGGGTCTCGTTTCTGGTTTTATTTGACCCCTAATGAACCGAGCTGTAGTTTATCGAGCTGCTCTTTAAATAAGCGACAGTTTCTGTCCAACACTTTAAGGTTGACCAAAAGAAAAAGGGGACACGTCATGTCAAATCCACTTTTTTAGCAYTAAAATACATTTTGTTGTGTACTTGMTTTAATTTGGGTTTGAAGCTCCTCCTCTGGATTTAAAGAGGCAGCATCAAAACGAGTTCTGAGACACATCTCAGAAATGGGGTGAAAGAGGGGCTTGTGGAGTTACATTAAGGAGAAACTTTATATAGACCCAACTGAATGATTTAAATATGAAAAAGGATTTAAAAGCACGATATGTCCACTTTAAAGTAAACAATCTCCATTAAAACTCTGTAAGTAAAAAACTGTAATAATTTACTGCTAAAGRAACTAGTGTAATAAGTTGTAACACTAAAATAATAAAGAATATTCTGATCTAACTGTTTTTAGGTTGGCTTGGTGTGTCAGCACCCTAAGGCAACCGGCAGCTGAATGTAGGCCACTGTCAGTCAGAGCAGTCTGGGGGCGGGGCTTGTTCTGGGAGCACTGTTCTTTCACACACGCCTACCCTCATRGTGGTCCTCTCTATTTCAGTCTGAAGGATTACTGCCGCACACTCGCGTGGGTCTGAGCAGCTTTGATGCCGCTCTGAGYAGTCCTCTCCCTCTCCTCCTCCTCCTGAAGACTGGCCTGCAGCTTCGCACACAGGCTGGCGTCACCAGTCTGCAGGGCCTGCAGGAAGAGGTCCGTCTGCGTTTTGAGCCGGTCCAGGTCGCTCTGGGTGCTCTGGTTCTGCCTGAGGAGCTCCTTGGTGCGGAGCGTGATGTCCAGCAGACCAGATTTGCTCAGTATGTTGTAGGTGTTGCAGAAGCGCTTCCTCTTCGAGTCGGAGTCGTCGTCGTTTGCGTTGCATTCTTGTGGGGAGAGGACATCGGGCGTGTCGGCCTGGGGAACAGGGAGCGTCTCGTTTTTGAAATTAGCGACGTGATTGAAAGACAAGGAAGTTGTAAATTCTGCCAGGCTGGCGGCGGAGGAAGGCCTCTCCTCGACAGAACTGCTGCTGGTTTCTGCTGCTGGGAGAGTAAGTCTCTGAGGCAGGGGGGARGCGGCACTGCGGGTACCAGGAAGACCAGGAGAGGCAGACCCAGGGGTGCTACCACAGAGAGTTCTCTGGGTCTTCTCTCGGTTACAGTGGTCCCAAAGGTTGGAGGTCGAAGTGCTACATCTCTCTGACCCTGAAGAAGAAGAAGAAGAAGAAGAGGAAGCAGTTCCTCTTCCTGAAGAACTGGAGCTGTCCCCGGGATGTGGGGCGATCTTAGGGTAGGACTTCAGAATGGGAAGATACTTTCTGGAGCGTCTGTGCCTCGAGGAGGCGGCCGAAGCTTGGCGGGACACCACAGGCTGGAGAAAAACCACTTGAGGCTGCTGGACCACAGGCTGCACCACCTCCACTGCAGGACTGAACCCCCAGGGTTTCAGAGCAGGAGGATTATCTGCAGGCTAAAGARAAAAGTCAAAAATGACACGTTTAAAATACAGAATCTGGATCGTTTAATTATTCTATAAACTTCATGTATGAAAACCCTTTGAGATTCCTTTATGATGCAGGCCCAACGCAGAATTAATCACTTATCCAATCCCAGTTATTTCTCAGTGACATGTCCTGTACATGTCTCTCTAAAGCCCCWAGAATGATTTCTGAAGGACTATAAACAGCCTCAAAATATATTTATGTTCCTAATAGAGCTATCTATTGAGGTCTGACTCACCTACAGATGTGTTTTTATTCTTTTTTTTTTCAGAGTCACGTTTGACTTGATCAGATCTTAGATAGGGCTGGGCGGTATGACCTCAAATTCATACAGTATATAAACTGAATCCCTTCACGGTAATGGTATATATCACGGTAGAAGAAAACTATCATAAAAAGTAAAGATAATGTAATTTTTAGAGCTTTTACTTTTTTTGCAGAAAACTAAACTTAATCAAACCCAGCATTTTTGCTTTAATATTTGCCTGCCAAACAATGAGCTTCCACCAACTGAACTTAAGAGCAGAAGCAGACTTTACATTAGCAAGATGGATTTATGACTGAAGGAACGTCCACGTCGTTTTTCATAATCATCTCTGTGGGTAACAATACTTAAAAAACAAGTTTTTCTCCGACAATTGGGTGTGAAAAACTGCGGTTGTTAAAGCTTCTCTCTGTGCGACGTGCAGGGAGAGAGGAGAGGAGATGAATGATCCCGCGACACGACGTAACTTGGAGGAGGAAATTCTGAGGATTATTATTCTCTCTATACGTGTTTTAAAACGCTAGAATTTCTTCATTATACTGTATTTCGAACTCCTGCTCGGTTGTCTCTGCACTCGCAGCCATGCTGACACAGGTGTGATGATGTAATGACGATAGGACAGTAGAGGGTAAATTTCTACTGTAGGCCAACTTCATACCGTTTCTACCGTCTACCACATATACCGCACAGCCCTAATCTTAGATTAAAATTGCCTGCAGTTATTTGAGCCGAGTGAAATGATTGATGTCAGATGGCTCCAAGTTGCAAATATTTCAATATTTGTGCCGTCTAAAAGTTCATGTCTTTGGGAAGGGGGCTTTCAGCAGTGACAGGACTTCTAGCTCTTTTCTGGAAACCGTCTCATTTGGCTCTTCGTTACGCGCCCAGTGAGGCCGATCAGCAGCCGACCGCACTACTATCTTTATAAATGTCTGCTTCCAGGTACAACAGTCAGAATCAGAAAGTGAGCAGTTGAAGCAAAATGCTACAAACAAAACAGTGAACAAAGTGACGCAATTATCGCCACACAACTGCATCAATAAGAGCCGATTTCGGTACTTCGGATGGAGCATGCTGGGCACTTTAGGCTTAGATGCCATCATCGTATTTTGAAAACAATGCGACATTTAATGCATAAGTTCTGCTCCACACCTCTTGTGATTCTGCAAAGCTTGCGTTGTTTCTGAAATTTCACATTTTTGCGGCTGGCTCCATCTGTGATCTCTGAACAGCCAGACTGTACGGCCGCTTAGTTTAATGAAATGTAATATTGGCCATGAAGCGGCTCTTACAGCTCCATCAACAACCAGCTCTGTGTCACTGAACCCTTATCTATTTGCAGTATTTTATATCAGCTCCTAACTCAGTCAGCAAATGATTCTAAAATGTGTTTGCTTACTAAAATTATATTCTTAGGACATTGTCTGGTATTGTTTGCAAATAAAATACTCAAACTCTAAAGGACAAAGTGGTGAGTAAATTAATGAACCAGCTTTACTATTTTGAAATGTCTTTGCAAGAAAACTTAACATCTGAAAGGAAGCATAGATTTAATTATGTCATATATTTAGAACAGAAAAGGCTGAGTTACCTGCTTGAGTAAGACGTTGTTCATTATGATCATAGGCGAGAGTCCAGAGTAGGAGCCTCCCACCACAGCCACCCGAGAGGGGCGTGAACCAGGTGATCCTTGCTGTACAGCAGGCCGGGGTGAATCCTCCGAGTCCGTCGTCTCCATTGTGCTCATGTGCTCCGAGCTGGCATCTATGAGGCAGACAGAACCGCACGGTGGTGTTCAGCAGGGGGATACCCAATAAACGCACATTAAAATGTGRCAGGAGTCTGTCTGCACCTGAGAACCCGGAGTCTCTCTCTGAATCGGCCTGGGAGCCTCCACACTTCATGATGTGGGGTTGGTTCGGTGCTCTCAGGTGACCCTCTGCCTTCCTCTTGGTGCTCATCTCCATTTTTTCTGCTTTAGCGACACGGTCCATGGATCCACAAGCTCTCACAGAACTACTTCAGATCACAAGCTATAGGTGGGAATAAAAAAAGATACTGAGCAGACTCGCTTGTCAAATTAATGACACAGTGAAGAGATATTACATAATAACAACAAACCAGTACTGTTTAAGACGGAAGTAGGTTGATATTTGAATGATACTTGGCCGTGAATAATAAAACACTTTTCACATGATCAATCACTCTTTATGGTCAGGTTGATATAATTCGTATAGGCCAACAGTCTCGGTGTAAATAAATCCAAATAACTTTCTAAGATAACCACACAGAAAATATACTCATGMTACTGATAAAGTTCACTAAACAAGTCTTTAGTTTTTCAGTATTACAAACGCTGACAAAAAACGTTATATCAAACTATGTGACGGTGTTTATAAGTAAATAAAAGGAAATATTTTACCTTACGAACAGGACAAAGTAACGTATGTATCTGCTGCTACACTGTTAGCTTAAGCGCTACAAGCTATATGCTAATGAGCGTCAACTCCCACGAAGTCAAAGTGCTCCGGATAAACAAAAACAACAKAAAACAGCAGTCAAACAAAAGATTATTCCTACTTTTTTCACTGTGTGGTTCCAACGAGGCAGTACTAAAACGCTGACGGTCAAAAGCCTGCATTTAGGTCGAGGAGACGGCTGTTTCTCGGCTACTTTTTTTTTTTTTTTTAGGAGTCTGTCGCTGCAGCCGCCCTTCTACGTCGTTGCCTGGGACTCGCTATTCCACGGTACCGAACACGAGACAGACCGCTCCTCCTCCCCCGTCTGCCCGGTCACATGCGGAGCACGGTGGCCACGGTCGTCAGCAAATACGGTTGTTTTCACTGCTGAGCTTTAAAACGCAGAGTGGTACGTTGACAGTGCGATGATACCGCTAGGTTAATTGCTCCGTCGCTGCTTCATAACACTAAAAACAGGACAGGAAGGAAAACTAGTTACACCCACCAYTCCATATTTGGCAGTTGAGGGTGTGGTCTTACCAGCAATGTTAAGTACGTCATACCTTTTTGGTCGACACCCCCTGTCTTGTGACCACCTTCCTGGCCGCTAATTGGCCAGCGCCGCCAGAAGCTGAAAAACGTGACTACAGCCAAAAGTGTGGCAAGTGAAGGGCTGTGTGTGACTTGTAGGTTAGAGCTTTACAGCGCTGGCATAGAGTGGGATACAGTGACGTGAGAACTTCTGTGTGTTTTACATAAATGTTTGGCCTGAAGCTAACATAAGCAGAGTTTTAGGCCTCTCTCTGCAGCAAGTCTCATAGTAAACAAAACAACTTCTTGTGAAAACAAGAAGCCCTCACGTTTTAACCTTAATGTTTATGCTTAATTCTCTGATTAAATGATGAATGCATGGTAAGTTGGATGGTTTTTGAAATATGTCACTAGAAAAAGCACAAGAAGCACTTTTTACACATCTGCTAGAAAAGAAAACAGTGATTCCCTTCATGCACTCATGGGTTTTCTCCAGGCACTCTGGTTTCAAAAACCCAAAGCATGCATGTTATGTTTAGTGATAACTCAGAATTGTCCGTAGGTGAGCATGTGAATGGTCTCCGGACTCTTGCACTGTGATAGTAACCTTAAACCTGATTTAGCATCAATGAAATGAGCCACTATGTGATTAGAACTTTGTGGGCGTGTTTATTCATGTAAAGTGGCTGAAGTGAGCTGAACTGTGGGGCGAGGCTGTGTGAAAGTATAGCCAACATTTTACAGTTCCAGCAAAAATGACCAAAAGAATAAATAAATAAAATAAAGACAATAAAGAAAATAAAATTACTCATGGAAGAACGAAGACACAGATAGTTGGTGGCTCTCCATGCTGACTGTCATCTCACATCAAACTCCAGGCTGGGCCAAATCTGGCCCTTGTTAACATTTTACCCAACCCCAAACATAATACTTTAAATGTGAAATACTTTTCTGTTTTTAGTGCATTCTTCTCGTGACGGCCAGCCATTTTCAAGCCGAGAAAATGAAGTTTTTTAGTAATCTTTTATTCTAGAAAGACCAACAGAGAAACAACTTTAATTATATTTTCCTGTATTCTCCTCGTTGAGGGTTTTAGTTTTACCCGTTTTGCTTGATTGTGATAAAATGGATCTTTAATATTTAAAAAAGGAAAAAGTTGTTGAATAAGGCATAATGGTGTGTCTTTATAAATTTAATCTTTTGTCCTCATAAAACAAGCTGGAAAAGCTTATTTGTATTTCTATAACAATACTTTTTAAGATTTTCTTTAAGAAATATTGAAAGAAAATGGCCCTTGGCTTGGACCAAGTTTTGAATTTTGGCCCCCGGGTCTGAGTTTGAAACGCCTGTTTTAGGGAGAAGCAGGTAAAGAAAATGGATGCACGAAAACCACGATTGCAGCTGATATCAATTTAGACAAGCTGATGCTTTTTTTAATTGGTGAAACATGAAGATCACTGGATTGGTTCAGATCCTATCTGTCTGACTGGAGCTTTTCTGTGAGCCTTGGAAATTCTGTTTCCTCCTCAGCACCCCTCTCATGTGGAGTTCCCCAGGGATCCATTATTGGTCCCATTTTATTTTCCATTTACATGCTCCCCTCAGGCTCCATTTTTAGAAAATTTGACATCCTTTTTCATTCCTATGCAAATGACACCCACTATTTAATGACCTCACTGACATAAAAGCTTGGATGGCTTCAAACTTTTTACATTTCATTGACAATAAAACTGAAGTTATTATTTTTGGATCCTGCGTTAATCGTAGTTCTTCTCCTAGAGTCATCTGTAAACTCTCATGTCAAAAATTGCAGCTTAGTCCAACTGCACATTTGTCATTTTACATGTTTGTAGGACATTGGAAAAACTTATTAAATTAATTTTATTTCAGAGCTTAGTCTTCAAATGAAGAATTATTAAACAGTTTTACAATCAATTTTCATACATTGATTATGTCACGTCTTTGGTTTCCTTGTATTTAAATAAAGTTTACATTTAAAACTGCTCTGCAACAAAAGATGCATTGTCCAAACTCCACATAATAAACAGCTCAGTATAATTTATCAAACATTACATTAATAAAAAGAAATTAAAATGGCATGCTGCAGAAACGTTGAAAACATGATGTTCTTCATACAAGATTTGTCTTCTTTCGTTGGAGCTGCGACCTGAAAGACACAAAAAAGTAGAAAAAATGAGCTGAAATTCATCATGTTTTTTTCCAAATGTCATTTGAACCCATTTCACAAGGAGTTTGTTATTTACTTTAAAAAACTTTCATGAGATACTAAAAGAAAATTGGAATAATTAGTCGTGGAATCACAGTTTGTTCGCTTTAGCTGTGTTTCAATGAGTAAATTAAATCAAACTGTTAATAATCAGAAGTATTTGAAGAACCCAGATTATCTCTGGTTAGATCTTTGCATGATGAATATTATAAATGAATGCAAAAATTATCAGTTTTATGTCTTAAAACTTCAATGTCCCAAATACAAACTGATTAGAAAAGTTTTTGGGTATCACAGCAAAAATGTCAGTGTTAATTTAACACCCACCGTGTCAATTTTAACACCAACAAAGTGTCTATATGTGTCCACACCAAGTGGTGTTAAAATAACATTTGTGAATGTGTTAAACTTTAGCACTCATTTTTTGTTAATTTAACACCAACCAGTGTTTTATATTCAACAATTCTTGGTGTCACATTAACATAAAAATTGTGTTAGTGTTAAAATATAGTGTTAAAAGCAACACCAGCCAGTGTTAAATATTCAACAGTGTTAAAATCATTTATTAAAAGTATCACCAGAGTATTATTAAAAGAGATTGTGGTGTTATAAAGGTTTACAGACACCACAAGGTGTCGATACACCATGTAATTGAGAGTGAAAATTTAAGTCAGAGTAAATATCAAACTCTCTGTACTGTTGCATTTACACTACTCAACAATTAGTAGAAAAGTATGATGGAGTCACCCTTCACACACCAGGACATACCTCTCGACACCAATCGACACCATGAGTCATGGTGTCGATTTTTGGCCAATAACACAAACTCAAAGTTGAACAACTTGATCAAACTGAACAAGAAAACTAACCAGAACAACTCATTTTTACTCGGATGAATGTCTTTAATAGTCATAAACAGGCAAAAACATCATTTCTGCAAGATTTCTCAGCAAGGAATGCTATGCTCGGTAAATGCTGGTCTGTCTGACATGAGGTGGAAGAGGGCGGGGCTTTTCAGAATACTGCTTTCAACACTGCATGGTGTCATWTAACAACACTGTTTAGTGTTATATAAGACTTAACTGTGGGCGGAGCTTATTTAACACTGTCCAGTGTTGAGACAACACTGAGGAAATCAACACTGTGAATTAACACCAACACTGAGTGTGAGTGTACTCAGAAAGTGTTAAAATAATACTAGGGGGTGTTAAATCAACACCCAAAAGCTTAACACTGAAATTTTAACACTCCTGTTTTTGCTGTGTATTAATATAGAGAAATTGCATTTTCTGCAAAAATGCAACAAAGGTACTAAATATCTGATTAAATTAGCTGAAGAAGCTGGTTCAATCTTAAAGAAGCAGCTCCTTGGCTAAAAGCCAAAAGAAGCAAGATTTTAGCTAAAAGCTAAAGGTAGCAAAACACTATCTAAGTTTAATAGAAGCAGAACTGTGACTAAAACCTGGAGTCGGTAGCAAATTTCAAACAGAAAAATGCTTATAAAGAAAATMAAGAGATCTCAGTATATTGCTATGGATAAAACATTTGTAAATAAGGTTGAATATTTTGAAAAGTATAAAAGTTGCAAAAAAAAAGTCTGTCACCCATCTCTTGAATGAGCGGCTAAAATCGAACAGAAGTTAGAGACTGCAAACAACTAATGGAAAAATAAAAAGAGAGGAAAACAACAGTGGTGTTCACACAACAATCAGTCTCAGAAAATCTCCACTAAAATGATGATTCTGTCAACAAAACAGATCAGGAGGTCAAACATCGTCCAGATCAATGCAGCACAGTGTTTATTCCTGTCAGCTTGGATCTGCAGTTTGGACCTTTTGGTTCTGGTGACAGGCTGCAGCTGTGTGGTCTGTGGACCAGAAGGCGCTCCTCCAGCTCCTCGGAGTGTTGTTTACAGAGAAACAGAAGCTAAAGAGTGCCTCATTATGGCTCGGAAAGGCAGAAAAACAAGACCACCCATATGTAAAAAAAAAGAAAAAAAAACTTTTGTGAGAAAACTGACAATAATATCTCCCAACCCCCATCCCCCGGTGACCTGACGCCTAAAATATACCACTTACAGCAGAGTTGATTTCTTTCAGCTGCTCTTTAAGTGGAGAGAAGGTGACACCCACTGGCTGTGCCCCGGGCTGTTGACCCAAATACCTCAAATTCTTTCTTACTCCCCTTTAAGGAATCTTGTGATACCTCAAAAACAAACAATAACAACAACAAACTGATGAGGCTGAACTACCAGCTTTCTTTAAGCCGAAGGTCATTTTGCCTCGTGAGAACTGAAAGCAAAGCTGAATCAAATTAAAAGTTGAAACTGTTTATGTGAGACAGTATAGCTTGTTTTTCAAGGAGAAACATTGTCTTGTGTTAGATTTGTAAATTGCCCACACTGTAGGAACGAATGCACCCCCATACCATCAGAGAGGCAAGTTTTTTAAACTATTTGCTGATAACAGGTCGATATGGCATTTGTGGCTTCGAAAAATCATTTTGAGTTTGAARTTTTCTGACCACAAAACTATTTTCTATTTCACTTCAGTCCAGTTTAAATGCACTTTGACTCAGAGATGATCTAAGCTCTGTCCCAATTCAGGGGTTGCAGCCCACAGTGGGCTGCCAGTGGGCTGCCAGTGAACTGCATGAACGGCTGTGAAATGAGATGGTTTAGTCTACGGATGATGTAGGTTTCATATGCCTTCAGTTGAAACATGTAACTTGTCCTCACCGGTTCAAAAAACAAACAACTACTCAAATTCTTGGACATTTTAGAGTTACAAATGAATGTTTTCCATCTGTGGGCAGACACCAGAGAAAAAACCCACATGTGCATGGGGTGAACATGCAAATTCCAACTAGAAAGGTCAGGAGAAGAAACTGTGACCTTCTTGTAATCGCCTTCACAAACAAAATCTGCAGTTTCTTAATTTGATCTACTATGTTCCATAGGGAATATGAGATTAACAAATCAGTGCATTCTGCTTTTATTCACATTTTACACAAAATCCCAACTTTTCAGGAACTGGGGTTATAAAATGAGTCTTTAATGGATTAAACAGATGCAGCCTGAAAATGAATATTTGGTAAAGCTCCTCCAACTAATTTATTCCAGTTTTTGCTCTAGCCCTAAACAGAGAACCTGTTTTTCTTTAGTCCTTGGATTGAAACTATCAGTAGTCTAAACTTATCTTGGTGTGACCTTGCAGGAATGGTGATTTAGACAAACAGAAGTGAGGAGAAGGTGTTGCACAATAACATTTCATCTGTTCTGGGCTCGTAGCTGATAAATGTGACCTTTAAGGCSCCAATAATGTGTGTGAATGTCCACAGTAGGAAAATCATTTTCTTACTTTCCACAGCAGCTTGCTTTCTGTTCCTGTTTCTTCATCTGTCTCCTCTTCATCATCTTCTTGCTGCTGAGCATAAAGAGCAAAACAGATCATCAAGATATTAACATACTCCAGTTCCATAGATTAAAAAACAAAACAAAAAAACATGCTTACTGACCGTTTAATGTTTTTAGGTTTTCTTTTGGCTCTAAAAAGAAGAGAAACAGGTTTTAGTGTCTGATTTATGAAAAGATAAGAGGATATTGTGTTTGTCAGAGAGACCTGCATTCACATGCTTGATGTTCTGTAAATGTGAGTTCCACTTCCTGTGACATCATGAAAACTCGCTTCACCTGAGGAGACGAGAAGAACGACGATGAAGAAGGTGAACATCAACAGGGGGTGAGTTTAGGTGAAAACCTGCCACACCTGCAGAGTGATGTTTCTCAGAGAGGTGGGGTGACACTTCTGCTCCTCATCCAAGCAGCAGCCGGAGCACCTCCTCAGTGGGACAGACGAAGGGATGTAGATGTACTCCACATGGTCGGGGAACTCCTGCACCACATCCACCAGCTGCTCCATGGGTTGGCACACGCTCTTCGTCAGCACATCCATGAACCTCACCACTGCGTGAGAGAAGGGCGGCTCGTGGAGGCTCCATATCATCTGCAACAAGCTCTACTTTACAGAAGAAACCTTACCTGTGGACTGTCCACCTTCCTGGAGAGCTAACATCTAAAAATAAACAAATAAAACTAATTAAACCTGATATGTGTTCAATTCCACTTCAATAAACAATAAAAGTCAATCAGCATAAACAAATARCAAATTATAAATCAGTCATCAAGGCAGGATGATACACAGAGATATTTTGTGTCTTTAAAACTATATTAGCTTTAGAAAAAAGTTCAAGTAGTAAATTAAACTGATGGAAATATGTGGTAGGTTATTAAGCAGATGCGCAGCTCCCTCTAATGGTGAAAAGGTGAAACACAGTTTGATTTTGTAAAAAGAGTAGCTCCAATAAACTCAGCAACATGGTGCAAAAACAGACGTTGTTAAAGAGTGCTGATACTGTATAATACTTCAATTCTGACATTTCTCTCTTATTTTATTTTGGACACAGTGGAGAAAAGACTAACACAAAAATAACAAGTCTCAGAACGCATCTGTTTATTTTCATATATTAAAAATTATAACCAATGGCCTAAAACTTCTTGAAATAGTTCTGCTTTGATGAGATTCTTGGAAACTCCTGTGAAATTAAAACACTTTTTCTGCTACTGTGAAATGTCTGCACAATAAAGCTAAATAAGGTGGAATATGTGTGTATTTTTTTGCTTTTTTCTTCRATTTTCTTTTTTACAAAATAGTGAGAAAAAAGTAAAAGATGCTTTACGGATCTGTTAAAAACTCAATTCTGTCAATCTGAGAAAGCAATTTATAGATTTTACTTAATTCATTTCCTTTAGAATCTTAAAAATATTGGAATTTATAGAAGTTCTGAGTTTGTTTTTTGATGTTAGATGCTGCCCTCAGAGAACCTAAAGCTTTGATCCGTTGACAGCGACTTTCTGTGGCTATAACCAGTTTAAATTTACCATAGTAAAACAATGAATTAGAATTAGAACTAACAACTCACCTTTAATTGAAATCTTAAAAATAAAGATATTTA